TGCTGCATTTAATTCAATGTCTTCTGTTTTCTCCCCAAGGATTTAAAATAGGAAGAAAACTGGTTTCCTTGCTCTGTAGAAGAACAGCTCTTCATCCAGAAAGCTGTGATTAGGTTCGACACTCTGTCATTGTTAAGTTCTTGGAGCCCCTTTAGGCAAAGGTGTGGGGGAGCAGGGATGTGTTTGGGGATCTTTCTCACTACTCTCAGCTCTGCCAAGGACCCCTCCCGGGGGCCCTGACGCCCTTGCCACGTTTGAACCATTATTTGATAAAAGGCCCATACGCGGATCATTAGCCTATGTGGAACTGCCTTCGCCCAATTTCTCCTGCTTTGAAAACGTGTTCCATGTGAACACAGACCCTGGAAAGGTCAGTTTCAGGATGAGTTGACCATGGAGGTGAGATATGGGAGCTGGGGACCAGAATGAGCAGTTTAGAGAGGGGCCCCTGAAACTGTTTAAAGAAAGGAAAACAAAGAAACACGTGTCGTTGTGTGTAATAAAAATATTTTTAAAAATTATATTCATAAAAGGAGTGAGAGAGATGGATTTGGGGCAGGGGGGAGCTGATGGGGACCGTCAGAAGGCAGCATCCATCAGAGACGAAAAGGAGTGAGAGAGATGGATTTGGGGGGGGGGAGCTGATGGGGACCGTCAGAAGGCGGCATCCATCAGAGATGCCGATTAGGAAAAGCTGGAATGAGGTCGGAAGGGGCTTTCATCAGACTGTGTTGGGGGGCGGGGATGTCTTGCCAGGATGGAGCAGAACCCTGAAGGTCTGCCAGGCAGACCTCCCACCAGAGCCAGTAGAAACAGAAGAGCCGTGGGCTGAGGAAGCAGGGCCTATGGAGTGTGGGCCAAGCTCAGGGGATGCGAAGGACCTTGGGGCCAGCATGGTGACACGAGCCTTCCGTCCTTTACTATCACTGGTCCATCTCAAAGTCCTTGGAGCGCGTCCTTCGGAATGCTATCTAGTTCCAGAGCCCAACCCACTTTAGATTCCTATAAAGGGAGTTGTGGGGATACAGGGACCTAGATCATCAAACTGCCCTAACGCCAGGCACAGACCCGCCTCAGTGCCCTCTGCCCCTCCACCAGCCCCCTGACCTCCATGGCCAGAAACCAATTGGAGCAGAGAGATAAGTAAATACGACCTCACAGGGCTTATAATGAGAGTGTGGTAAGTGCAATCTCAAATTCGTTTTGTTTTTGTTTTTTGAAGAATCCAGGCCAGTTATTTTGCAGAACGTCCCTCAATTTGAGTTTGTCTGCTGCTTCTGCATGATTAAATTCGGGGTATGTGTTTCTGGCAAAAATACGGGATGCTATGTCCTTCTCAGATCATCAGCCCATCATAGAGCACAGCATGTCCAGTTTCCCACGACTGGTGACCTTATTTTGATCCCACAAGTTGTCGTAGAAGAGAGAGTTTTGCACAGAGGCCGCGTCTTCCCCCCTCCCCACACAGGCCAGCAGCACTGGCTCTGGGAAGGGCCTGAGGCCTGCTCTCCTGAGCCCTGCCTTTGCAGACTTTCAGACAGCACCAGAGAAGAATGTCATTATCCACATCATGGACGCAAGCCGCAATCACATTTACGACATGTTACAAAAGACTTACCCATTCATTTCCAGATGCAAATGAGAGCTACTGCTTCCTCAGAGCACTGACTGCCACATTCTGTGTCAAAAGCATGCCACACCTTAGAGTTATCTGGTCCTCACACCATCCTGAAAGGTGGGCACTACTGTTACCCATTATATGGATGGGAGAATGGAGGTCCCAGAAATTAAGCAACTTGCCCAAGGTCACCCGGCTAGGAAGTGGCAGGGCTGGGACTCGAACCCTGGCCCCTTTGAACCTCTGGGTCCAGATACTAAGCATCATGCTGTGTGTTCTCCTTGGAGTGTCACAGCAGATCAAGGTGATGCGCAGGGCAGGCTAGAGGTGTCATTTGCAGGTGAAGGGAATAAGGCCCAGGAAGGTTGTGTGTTCTGACCAAGTTTGCGGAATTGGGACCAGCCCCAAGAATTTCTGATTCCTGGCTTAGTGCTCCTGCCACAACCTCAGGCTCACTGTGGGACTGAGGTCAAGGAGGCCAAGGGTGCTGATGATGATCTGCCAAGAGGGATGGGCAGAGGGAAGGATGATGCAGGGACGGCCCCTGCTGGCTCCCTCACTACGGCCACTAAGCCTGGAAGCCCCAAGCCCTGCCTCGAAGCAGGATAATCTGAATCACCTTTGTTCTCAACCTGCAACCCGCCTCCGGTGTGACAACGTGGCTGCCACACCCTGCCTCTCCCCCTTCCCAGTCATTCTCTGCATCATCCCCACTTGCCAAGGCACCCACGGCTTAGGAGGAAGTGTCTGGCTCCTCAGGTAAAGCCCTGCCCAGCCCCATCAACCTGAGCAGCCAGTTTCTTAAAGCCTGGCCTCAGAGGACAAGCCCAGAATTCCAGCCTTCTGGAGGTCAGCAGAAGTATGGGGCTGGGGTGGGTGATGGCCTGGAATCCTCTGGTGTGGGTGGGTGAGACAAGAGCCAGAGGGCAGAGGGGAAAAGGTTTATCTCTTACCTCCTCTGCAAATCCTAGATCGGTTCACCTCTTCCATGAAGCCCACCCTGATTACCCCAAGTGTCTCCCAACCTCTGCTCGACCCGCCTCTAGCCTGCCAAGGAAGGTGCTGGATTCTGTTTTAACCACTGGGGCAAGTTACATGTGCCTTCTCTTGTATAGTACGAGCTGGAGGTAGGGGGCATCACTTTTCTTCATGGTCCTTATCACCCTCTACCACGCTATATACTTTACTTATTTGTTTGCTTTTTGTCACCACCGCCCCCTCACCAACCAAAGGAAAGTTCCACGAGGACAGAGATCTTGCCTCTTTTGTTCAATGGTATATCCCAGCACCTAGAATAGTGCCTGGCACACAGTAGGTGCTCAAAGAAAACTATTTACCTTTCCTTCCTCCTTCCAAAACACTCCCTGAATGCCCACTCCTCACGTTCAAATATTTTTAACTCCTATAGTTAAAAATAAGACATCACCCCTACCATAAGGAAGCTCATGGCCCCCATGGGAATGGATAATTCCAGAGGCCTGAGTGTCCCCTCCCACTTCATCTCCAAAGTTCCCCAGCTCTTGTCTCCCTGCCCTCCATTCACTCCCCCTACTGTGTGCTTAGACAGAGGGTGCACGTACCTGAAACCGGGCCTTCCTTCTGGCCTTGCCCAGAGGGGCCCAGCATGGTGTAGTGAGATCAGACAGCCCAGCGTTTGAACTCCAGCATATTCCCTGGCCCTTCTGAGAACTCATTTTCTTCATCTGTAGGGTGGGCTCCAGTATCCCCTTTGCAAGGGTTCTGTTGATCGTTAGACTATGTCTAGAGGTCTCCGGCCACATCGGGCACGTGATAAATGGCCCCTCTTGTTGGTATTGTTCCTGCAGCATCTGGCTGTGTCTTGAAGCAGGCTGCTTCTTGTGCCGAGGGAGTGGGGACACCTTGGTGCCCCCTGCCAGTGCAGTGGGCCACATTCGAGTTCCCAGGTGCTCGGCCTTGGGCGATCTACATGGCATTTGTGCCTTTTACAAATCTGGGATCCAAACTGGCAACGATTTCTTTTAAAATCCAGCATCAGTGAGGATGCACAGGCTCCACTCTCACGGCTGGGTCATGAGGCACATGCTTTGTTTGGGGGGGAAATCTAGCGAAATGTATCAAGACAGTTCTGCCTTTAGGAATTCACTGAAACCTGGGCAAAGACTTATGTACCTGGATGTTGATGCCAGCATTATTTATAACACTGAACAAATAGAAAACCACCTCATTGTCCAACACTAGGGGATTAGCTAGACAAAGCGTGGTATATGCTTCCATTAAATATGATATTGTGGAAGAAAACTAATATGGGAAATATTTACATTTACAAAACATTGAATAAAGCAGGCTACAAATCAGTATTATAGTATGAGTCCCTCTCTCTTATTAGTGTTTTTTGGTGATGAGTCTGCAGGTGGTTCTTAGTTTCTTCCTTGTGCTTTCCTGTTTTTTTCCAAAATCTCTACAATATACCAGTATTATTTTTTTTTAAAGAAAAATTAGAAAGTCAAAGTTATCTTGACAAAATAGACTAAGCACAGATTTAACTTAAATTCCATAGTTAGCTCATGTCAAGATCATGCACAGTAACCAACAGATAATTCCTGATCGTAGCTCAACGAACTTGTGAAAAACTCTTAAACCGTTCTTACACTCTTTAATGTGATTTTTTTTTTTCCCCATTTTGGAACAATTTTAGATTTACTTGCAGAGATGGTACAAAGTCCCTGTATACTCCTCACAGTTCTCTACTATTAGCATCTTACGGGACCAGGGGCAGCGCGCACAACTAGGGAACCAACGTTGGCGGGCGCATCGCCACTAACTAAACTTCGGACGTCATTCAGATTTCACTCGTTTCCCCACTAACATCCTCCTTCCGTTCCAGGATGCAATCGGGGTACCATCTTGCATTCTGTTGTCACATCTCTTCAGGCGCCGCTGGCCAGTGGCAGTTTCTCAGACTTTCCTGGTTTTGCATGCACCCCGTGTGAATTTTGTGAATCAGAAAAAGAAAGGGTTCGTGCTGATGACGAAGATGGTGATCGCTGTCTGGGAATTTCTTCGTCTTTATCTCGGTGGGAAGCAAATGATGCGGCTCCTTCTCGGTTCGCCGGAACGAAAGGGGGCAAGGCCGCGCTCCGAGAGGTCGGGGCGCCGGCGCCCCTGCACACTGTCCTCTCGGCCCCACGCCGGTGCTGTCCGTCCGGGGCCCCCAGGAGGAGGGCGAGCCGGGCTGCGTGGGTCCCCTTGCCGGTTGGGCGAGCGCGCAGCGCGCGGGCGGCACCACGGTCAGCTGTTCCGCAACCCGCCGCCGCCCCGCCCCTGCCCGGGTCTTAAAAGCCTCTCCCGCCCCCGAGCGTCGGAACCGGCCGCTGCCCTCCGGGCCAGGCGACCCCGCAGCATGGCTTGGAACACCAACCTCCGCTGGCGCCTGCCGCTCACCTGCCTGCTCCTGCAGGTGGCCCTGGTGGTCCTCTTCGGCGTGTTCGTGCGCTACGACCGCGATGCCGACGCACACTGGGTGGAGGACAAGCTGCACAGCAACTCCAGCGACCTTGACAACGAATTCTACTATCGCTACCCCAGTAAGTCCCGCCGCCCTGCAGGCCCGCGCGTTCCACAGCTGCGCAGGTCCCCACCTGGCCCAGAGCCCTGCCTGGCCGCACCGCCGCAGCCCATGCTGGGAACCAGGGCGGGAGGCAGAGGAGGAGATGCTGCCCCCCTGCCCCGCCCCACATAGGCACTCCCGGCTCTGGGGATCATGCTGGAGGAACGGCTCGATGTGCACAAACTCCTTTTCCGTATGAAAGAGTCACAGGGAAACCTCACAGGGGTGCGCTCACTCCGGGTGCCATCAGAGGCCTCCAGCCTTCTTAGGTCCTCGAAAGACCTAAGCCCCATCTTAGCAACCGGCAGGTAGATGACTCTGGCTCCCTCGTCCAGCTGTGCCCGTATCTCCAGGTCAAGGGCCACAGGTGGCTCGTATGCCTGCCAGCCCTGCTGCTGGAAGAGGTGGGTGGGACCATGGCACCCACACTTTGTTGGCTGGGAGAGGGAGAAGGCACACCCCCAAAGCCCTGGGTATCCAAGTGCCGTGGTTTAGAGCATGGCTTGGAATCACCACACCTCACTTCTCTCTGGGCTCTGCCATTCACCAGGTGGGTGACCTTAGGCAAACATCCACCTCGCTCAAATTAAGTGTCCTTATCTGTGGAATGGGGATAATCACAGAACCTGCCTAACTTACAGGGGTGGGGTGAGGCCGGCAGGAGACAGTGCCGGGCATGGAATCCTTATTTCGTGGTGAGCGATCACTAGAAAAGCAGTGACAACAGACGTCCTGGTCCTCGGGGGTTGGAAGAACTGGTCCAAGGTCTCTCGGGTGAGCCCAGCCTCCAGACTCCCAGCCCAGGACCGTCTATGCCCATGTGCTTCCTGGTTTCCACGCCACTGACCAGCAGCCAGTGACCACCTTTTGTGGGTGCTCCCATGGCCATGCACTGTTAGTTTTGGAAGGGACCCTAAAGCTTATCTGCAGCAGCCACCTACACCAATGGTGTTCCCTCCATGGCTGGTACACCCTCAGAGACAGAATTCTGTACCTCCGGAAATGGCATTTTACTTAGTTCCAAATAAATAACTGCACACATTCAGGATAGCAGACTCCGTGCAGAGAAGATGGGGTGTGTGTCACGGACTCAGTGGGAGCCAGCTCTATTAAGGGGCTCCTGAAAAGCTAGCACAATCTCTGCTGCATTAACAGAAATATGGTGCCTAGAAGGGAGGTGACCGGAGGTGGGTGTGTTGTGCCCTGTGCTGATGAAACCACAACCTCTGCTGGGCTCCACTTGGGGCCATGTTTTAAGAGATCTTGACAGCTGAGGCCTTGGAATTTAGACTCCAAATCCACACTTCTCATTGTCTGCCTTTATATGCTGCTTGGTGGGCGGCCCAGCAATTGGCGAGGCAGGCGAGCTTGAGGCCCCCCTATGCCTGTTCCACGCCTTCACCTCTTGCTTATCTCTCAGCCATAGAGCCAGCCCCTCAGCACAGCATGTTCCGCAACCCGACGGGCATGCGCAGGGCCTCCCACGGGCATGCGCAGGCCCTTGATGTGTCTGGGCAGCAGGAGGCCTCAAGACCCTACCACCAGGGCTATAGGACCTCACCAGTGAGGGGTGTAGTCTTCATGTCTCTTCAAGTCCTGTCCCCACCCCCTGCACACCCAGCCACCCACCTGTCATGCTTCACCTTCATTTACTCACTCAACAATTACTTTCCTACAACTTATCAACCACATGACACTTTTGAGAGAGGAGGGTGGGAGAGTTGTGCCAGTAGTAATTTGCCAGGACACCGTCCCAGCAAACTAGGGCTTATGACCACTCTGGACAAACTCAACCACATGACACTTTTGAGAGAGGAGGGTGGGAAAGTTGTGCCAGTAGTAATTTGCCAGGACACAGGCATAAACCATGACCGTCCCAGCAGACTAGGGCTTATGAGCACTCTGGACAAATGAGGTGAATGCCCTGGGTCTCTCTAGCCCTACGGCGCTCCCAGATTTGTGGAGAAGAGAGGTGCGCTCAACACCCTGGGCCTCACTGGGGTCAAGTGCTCGGGCAGAAGAGATGTGTGACAGTTTCCTGGACAGCAGGGGACAGTGAGGAGGAGAGAGGCAGGACAGCCGAGGGGCCCCATGCTGGGATGTGGGCTGAGTGACTCTGTGTGGCCCCAGAAGAGGGTTTGTGAGAGGGACAGGAGGGGGGTTGCTAAGGGGGTGAGATGGCCCCGGTTATCAAGGAGGGTCTGGAGTTTCTCCTGCAACGTGCCCTGTGAGTGCTGGGGAGCTCTCAGGGATCTGAGCAGGAAGTGGCCGAGAGGAGAGGAATGGGGGAGAGAACTTGGCCTCGGGACTCCTTGGCAAGGGCAGGAAGCAGTGGCAACACATCGAGCATTCTCCCCTTTACCCGTCACCACCACCGATGAGGAAGGCGCTGTTATGACTCCCATTTTCCAGACCAGGAAACTAAGGCCCGAGCGGAGACGTGTCTTGCAAAGGTCCTTCAGCGAGGGAACCAGAGAGCCAGGGTAGGAGATCTGGGAATCTGACACATGCCTGGACCACTCTCCTCCCTCTAGTCTCACTTTTCCCCTTTCCTCCTGCCTCACCCTTTTTGGGCCCACTTGGTCATGGCGGCCATGGTTAGGAGTTAGCGGGCACATGGCTTCCTGGCCCAGGTAGGGTCCCAAGGCCTTGTGGTAACTTCCAGGTTCTTGGTTCCAGGCCATAAACACCTTGTAGCCTTGTTCCTGCCCAAGGGGTTATCGGAGCCCAGTGGGCATCTCAGTCGCCAGGGGAGTCCAGCTCTAGCTGGCTGAGGCCGGGGCTCAGGAGGGCCTGAGGACAGCTGCCTGGACGTGGGCCCCTAGGTAGGCAGCAGGCACTGAGCCAGCTGGAGACCTGCCCTGGCAGTGCCCTCTGAGGCCTATGCTGTGGGCACCGCTGCTGAACATGAAGCTTCCTCACGGCTTGGTGCTCTGGGGCCTGCATGGCCACGGGCAGTGTCTGGCGGAGGCTGGCCAGGGAGAAGCCATCAAAGCCTGGACTCTTGGGAAGACTGAGGAAGGAGCAAAACACATTTCCAGGAGAAGACCAACGACAGAGGACGCCATAGTCAAACACTGTTTCATGCACTCAGCGGGGCTCCTGGCCACCTGTACCTGGTTCAGCTCCATTTAATGAAGGACAAGCTTTCCCAGCAGTAGAGGGCAGTGTAACCTGGACTTTGGAATTGAACAGATCAGGGTCCATCACTAAATGGAGTGAGCCGACTCCCTAACCACTGTGAGCCTCCGTTGGCTCATCTGTGAAGTGGGACTGTTATTTAATGCACAGGATCTCTGGGAAGATCGAAGATGGCAGGTGACTGGTAGGGCACATCTCATGGCATGAAAGGAGAGGGCAGTACATGCTGGTATCGAGTTTCTTCGCAAGGGAGTGAGTGCTCTGTCGCTGAAGGTATTTAAGTGGAGGCTCAGCATCGCCTTAGCGATGTGACCAAGGACTATCTTCTGAGTATCAGTTTCAACTCTTACGGCACTTTAGTTCCTCTGGGTGCTCCCCATTTACAACTGCTTTTTGCACTGCAAGTGCTGGCAGGCAGGGCATGGATTTGTTCCCATGTTACGACGCAGGCATCCGAGGTCAGAGATTTGCCCAACCTCAGCTCTCAGCTGGTCGGTCAATGGCACGGGCAGGGACGGAGCCAAGTCCTTCCCCCACAGCCCACCTGCTTCCCTGGGGCCTCTACGGCATTGTCACCCCGATGATGTTCCCAGGAGAGTTTGCAGGGATGGGGTGGTTCTGTGGTCAGCTCTGAGGTGTGGGAGAGGTGGGCACAGAGCCTTGGGGAATTGAGGGACTAGTTTAGCTTGGGCATAGCCTGCAGAAAATGGGCAGGGGCAGGACCCAGGCCACTGCAGGGCATCATTCTTTCTGTGACCATGGAGCAGAGGGGATGGAGCTGCCATGGCCCGCTGGTGTGGGAAACTTTGTCCTCAGATTTCGGAGACCTGGCCAGCTTTGTTGGGGACCCATCGTCCTGGGAGGGAAGAGTGAGCTAGGAAGCGGAAGGGGAAAGTGAGAACAGCTGTGTACTGGTGCCCCCTTGTGGCAGCTCTCGGGACTCGCAGCCAGCCTGCTGCCCTGCCCGATCAGGGACGCGCAGGTTCAGAGAGCAGGTTCTGGGCTGGGCCGCTTGAGTTACCCCAGGCGGGGGGAAAGAAGGCGGAGGTCTCACCAGCTTCCACTGACTCTTAGCAAGGCTCCAACCCAGTACTAAGCTGGTCAGTCTTGGAAGAGAAAAAGAGAAACTAGCTACTGTGATTGAGCAATTACTAAAGAGCCAGGCTTCTGCCAGGGCGCTGGTGGGATCGCCCCACTAAACGTGCACCGCAAACCTCCGAGGAGAGCACTCCCTGAGCACAGGCACTACCCCCATTTTACAGGTAAAGACACTGCAGATCAGAGAGGTTACGTCTTTGCCGAAGGCCATACAGTCTGGTTCAAACCATTACCATTAAAAGCATTTTAGGTAGCACCAAACTTTATGAAATAAATTGATAAATTGGCACATTTTGGTTCTAAATTAGGACTAGTTTTGGAGATAAAGAGTAAGAGATTAAGAGAATAAATCGAAGAGGCAGGGGAGAAGAGCTGCTCAGGAGAGGGTCAGAGAGAGGCGGGGTGGGGGACAGGCAGAGAGAAGCACGGGGAAGTGCAGGGCTTCCTGCTCTCGGGCCACAGGGGGGACAAAGGCGGCCCTGAAATTGCAAACACCTCCCAGGTAGGGCGCCCCACAGTCCTCTTCAGCCCCACTCCTGCCCGAATGGTCCCTCCGTGCCACCAGGAGCTGACACTCCTCTCCCTGAAAGGCCTTTTCCCAAGGTTCCTCCCACCACCCTGCCAGCACCCTCCCTGGCTGCCCCGCTAGCTTCCAGGCTGGCCACTTCGGTCTCCCCCTCGTCATTTTCACATTCTGACTCACAGCTCTGTTTGCAGCCCTGCCCAGTCTCAGACCCGAGCTCCGCCACCTCTCCCAGCCAGCCTCCACTCCCCTCACACCCGGCCCCCGTGGTGGCCTCCAACCCCCACGGCCAGCGCTGGACTCGGCACCTCCCTCCCGTCCCAGCAACCTGTACCCGCTTCCCTGTGTTTATCGACAGCCCTGCCATCCTGCCAACTCCCCTCCCTTCTCCTGATCGCAGTCTGAACGGGGAGCCTCCCTCTCTTTCACACCTCTCCTCCAGTCTGTCACCCATCAGTTCTTCCCGAGAATAACCGTAATACCATGTATGCTGCTTCACATACGTTAGCTCAGTTTCCCCCACAACAGTTGGAAAAGGGATCAGCCATGAAACTCGGGAAGACATGGATTCAGTGGCACACACTGTGAAACGCAAGCCGAGCCGCCGTTTGCGTAAACTCACACAGGTCTCCGAGCTCAGAGCGCCACACCGGGGAAAGACCCACAGCTCTCCTGCATCAGCTTGTACGTCCCCTGCCCCGTATCCTGCAGTATGCCAGTCCCCGTAAGCCTCTTCCGGGTGGCTGCGGCCTGGGCCTCAAGGAAGCCTGCAGGGGACACACGAGGGCAGATTCCTATCTGTATAGGCAAAGGCAAGGCAGCTGTAGCATAAGCATGGCTGCCCCCAACTTGGCCAAACTGCAGTGGGCACCAGGGCCTAGTCACGCTGTGGATAGCAGGTGTTGGACCAGAGAGGGGCTGCTGCCTTACCTGATCGTGACATCCCACCTCGGGCTCCTCGACTGCTGCTCAGCTGGCACATCTGGCTCCTGCTGAGAGAACAACCACAGTCATTCATTTATTCATGGAGATTTATTGAGTCTACCCGGGCGCTCCCATTGGTGCTGGGAAATATCAGAGTGAACGAAGCAGGCGCGGCCTTGCCTTTTCGGAGTTTCAGAGTCTAGTGGGCTAGAAAAACAAACTCAACTGCAGACTGTAACATGAACTAAAATGAAGAGGGTGCCGTGAAGGAGAAAACCAGCTTAAAGCCAGGTGGTCAGGAAGGCCTCGGTGACGTGTCAGGTGTTGAATTTACTTGGCATGTCCCTTTAGCCTCTTTCAACCTGGAACATTTCCACAATCTTTTTTGTGATGTTGATATTTTTCAAGAATAGAGCCTCGCCCCTCTCTAACAGCCTGCTACTCATTTCGTTTTTGGTGTTTCCTCAAGATTAGGTTAGGAGTATGCATTCCCGGCTGCAACACCTTCTCAGAGTACCACATCTGAAGGTGCGTGGTGTCCTGTCCCTTGCTGGTGATGTTCATTGTGATCACCTAGTCAAGGTGTTGCCCCATTTCTCTACTATATAATCACTGGGTTTTTTATTCTCCTGCGACTCATCAGTAGTTTGTGGGGAGACTCTTTCAGATAATGCAAATTTCCCGCTCTTCATCCAAAGTTCCCCCTTGATTTTGCATCCAGTGATGGAAATGACAATTTTCCAACTTTGGTGTTCGCTCCACATTTGACAGTCGGGCGCCCAGCATCCTGCTGTAAGCAGGCGCCCTCCCTGCTAGCTCACTTATTTATTTACCTATTCTGTGTTCCTGTTTTTTAATGGTTTTAATTCATTCTGGTACACAATTATTTTGGCGTTCAAACGGTCCCAAATTTGGCTCGTGGGAGCCCTTCGGTCTGGCCGCTGTGTCCTGGGACACCTGTAGTTTCTGGTCACACCTTACGCTTTCTTTTACTGTCTTCACTTCTCAAAGCTCTTTGCCTTCCATTATGTTCTGGGAATCCAGAACCACGCAACGTTAGCCCTGGAAGGACAGTTAAGATCATTCGAATCCCTCCCTTTGGTTTTATCTTTGAGAAAACTGAGGCTCCGAGAGGGGAAGTGGCTCGTCAAGGCCACGCTGTGAGTTGGTGGAAGAGCCGGGTCGGGACTCATAATTAGACTGTGCCTAAGTACCGATAATAAAGTAACAATAACTAATGACACTCGCCCATTTTGAGCATCTGTGGTGGGACGGACACGGTGCTAGGGGCTGCGCACTCACAACTTAATCTTTGCAGCATTGGAGAGTAAGCATTACAGAAGAAGGCACTGAGACCCAAGGATGTCAAGTGACTTTCTAGATACATCTGTCCGAACTCGGGTCTCAGTGATGCTGGAAGTTGCACTTGCTGGGAGCGAGGGTGGCATGTGAACACGTTCCCTGTTCCTCTGGGCGATCAACTGACGTGCTTGGCCAGCTGAGACTCCTACCCAGACGAGCTTAACTTCTCCGCAGTAAAGGAATGGGGTTGAGGGGGCAAGGCCACAGGAGGTCTGCGTTCTAGACCTAGACCCTGGGTGGAAGCCACGAGCCTGGCCCCAAATTCCAATACCCACCGCCCACCGGCGCGGGCGAGGGCGGACAGGGGGAGCCGTCAGCGCCCCGGCCTTGCTGCCCCCGCAGGCTTCCAGGACGTGCACGTGATGATCTTCGTGGGCTTCGGCTTCCTCATGACCTTCCTGCAGCGCTACGGCTACAGCTCCGTGGGTTTCAACTTCATGCTGGCGGCCTTCGGCATCCAGTGGGCGCTGCTCATGCAGGGCTGGTTTCACTCCTACCAAGACGGCTACATTCTCGTGGGCGTGGAGAAGTGAGCGGGGCGGGGCCGGGGGCGGGGCCCGAGTCGAGGGGGCGGGCCCGGAAGGCGGGGCGCACTGGGTTGGGCGGGGGTGACGGGGCATCCCGCCGGGAATAGGGCCCTGACTTGGGGCTGTGAGCGCCTCGTCTCCCAGCCAGAGGACACCTCGCCAGCGACACATGCTACACACACTCTCTGCTTCCTGCTCAGCGAGTCTCCACAATGCGTGGAGACTAGTGGTGTCCACGGGCCGTTGGAGGGTCTCCCTCCCGCGAAGCCTGAGGCTGTAGAGACACCTCAGTGTCTTCTCTCCAGCGGCTGGGCCTGGGCCCTCAATCCGGGCGCATCGAAAACGCCCTGAGACCACAGCCCATGGGCCCCTTCCCTGACCTGTCTCCCCACAGCCTCATCAACGCCGACTTCTGCGTGGGATCTGTCTGTGTGGCTTTTGGGGCCATTCTGGGCAAAGTCAGCCCCATCCAGCTACTCATCAT